GAGCATTCACGAAAGCACCTCCATTTATTTCTAGTCCACCACTTAAATTAAGTGTCTGATTCAGAATGAAAAAAGTTTGAATGTATAAATTAAATGTCTTCATCTTTCCAGTTAAGATGAAAGCAAGGTATAGGTTGACCTAAATGCAAGATGGTAAAACCAGCAAGCTGATTAATCAAACCTGGAATATCTAATATAAGCATTTTCAATTATTTGAGATCATTCTGTGTTTGAATCCCACAATCACGACACTACCAGCGAATTTGTTTTCTTTATTTTCCATAACATTATTGTGAAAGCATACGTAATCATTTCATCTTTATGTATTTTGATTATTTAAGCATCTTTGCCATTGCTTTTGATGGATTTTGAGGGTAAGATGTGACTTTTTTTCCTCTTAAACCACAACATTCATGTTCATATGCATAATGTATTTATTTACTCTTTCGTTTATTCAGCTACATATTTTTTTATTCATTATGGAGTTGAGTATTTTTATTTAATTTCATATATGTCTTATTTATTATTTGTGATCTTGATGATTGTAATAGTGCTTGATCTGTGATGGTGTAAAAATCATTGTCTGTAGATCACCTGATATTATTACACTGTAATGTGGTGTAAAATTAAAACAATCATCAGTTTGAATGCTTAAACTATACTCATTTATGCTAAAAAGCACTGCACTGCAATACCCCTATGTCATGTTCTGCTGCTATGTGTTGTGCCTAAAAGCGGCTATTGCATTAGCTTCCTTGTTTTGTGTTTGCCTGACCTGTTGCTGCGTCAAGATTTTCGTACTGACGGTCACGGTTTATCTCAAGTCCATGTCCTTACGGCAGCGCTTTATTGAAATAAAGGTTAACGTTCGGGATAACAAACACCACTATTGTTGTGAGGGCACGTTACTTTTTGTTTACGTCCTGGTAACCAAACTCAAACAGCCGGGCCTATTTTGAAAATTGGCGGCATTTGACCTGGATAGTTTATCTCGCTTTGGAGTCATTTGGAAATGTTGGCCACCCTTTTATCTCATAAAGGTAAGTACATATGGAGAAATATATTGTAAAAGACATCTAAACAATGACCAAGTTTTACCGTTTACGCTCATAAGTGTGTAGTTATAGGCCTATCTTTATGCCCTTATCTTATCAACTAAGAAATAACGTTAGTCCTAAATTCAAACCGCAGGCATCCTCAAAATAGATTGTAAAACACAGCATTACTGTTTCTATAAAGTAGTTAAGTCAACTATTGGAAGAAATCGCTTACCCAAAAGATTTATTAGGGCTAGACAAGGCAAGGTGAACCATTTTTGTCCAAATTGATCAGAATCCTTTTTCTGTAGACCTCTTCTTATAAGTATTGTCCCCCCCCCCCCTTTGCTTTCAATTTACAGTTTTACCAGTGGCTTGTTGCATCTCTCACAACACTATTTACATTTGCAAAACAGTTAATGCATTTCTCAAAACAATTAGTCATTTGTGCACCTCACAGTAGCAGTTTCTCATTCCTTCCAACAGATTGCGAATGCTTTTGGACATTCATCAATTGCTTTGATACAACTTTCTGCTGTTTTAAAACATTTACCATTTACTTGTCATGTCAGTCAAAATGAACTAAACTTGTAAATGCTGAATAGTCATTAAATATAAAACTAATAGTCCTCATTTGAGTCATTAAATACAAAAATGTTGAACTCAAAATCTGTCAAGCAAATGTTATAACATTTTTTAAAAAGTATCTTTATTTTCTTGAAAATATCTTCTTAATTGAACAATTTGATGAATGATTTACAGACCTGTGTGTGTTGTAGGTTGAGACACAGACAGACCGACCGATAGAAAGAACGAAGGAGAAATAGAGATGGACAGACAGACAGATAGATAGATAGATAGATAGATAGATAGATAGATAGATAGATAGATAGATAGATAGATGGATGGATGGATGGATGGATGGATGGATGGATGGATGGATGGATAGATGTTTATGGTTTATTTTTGAGGACGTGTGAGGCTCATGTCTGATGATTTGGCGTCCTCTAGTGACTGTATTTCAAATCACTTTGTGGAGAAACAGATTCTGTCATACCTGTAATTCTCTACTCGGTGCTTTGAGCTTTCTAGACTAAATGAAAAGTTAAATAGACCGAATACAGTTTTTCACCTTTCTATATTTATTTTTGAATACAGAAACTGCACATCAAATTGATCTTCAGAGAGAGTGCCGCTCCCCTGATGGAGATGAAATTGGATGAGCCAACAATAAATGCACTCTATTGTTTTTCAAATATAGGGGCTTTATTAACAGCAGCCTTTAATACAAACACCTTTTCCACTGCAGCAAAACAAATAACTCTACGCCGTTTGCTATGAAATCTAAACCTTCAGTGCAGAGTGCATTGACACGGTGATCAATACAGACAGAAGATTATGTTCTGTGCTTACAAAAACTATTAAAGAACTGCTCATTTAACACGTAAGAATGAACAATTACGCATATTATTAGATTATTTAAATTAATGTAAATCCGTGTCTTTGGAATAAATGGGATTTTTACTGTGCATTTGCTTTAATAGTGGCATAAATAAATCACAAGTCTCGTTAATAACGTAAGTCCAGAATACATACAAAACGTTTTTATTGTTACTTCAGACAACTTAGAAAAGCACACGGACAACACAAAAACAAGCTTGTCTTGCCTACAACGTATTTACACCATGCTCTATGTTTTCTGCAAATATTTACATTCAATATGTACATTTAGTGGAATTGAAAAAACACTTGCCACGCTAAGATTTAAGAGCAATAACAATACCACCATCGATAATAACGACAATATATACGTGTGTGCACATATATACACTGCAAAATCTGAAACGACAGATAACAGAAGAACAGATATATAAAAAAGTATAAACTGAGGTGTTATGTGTGGTTATCTTGTGTTTGCTAAACACAGTTCTGATACAGATTTGATGGATGAATACAGAGCAAACAAGTGAAACAAACTAATCATTCATAGAGTAGCAGAGCGCTGATTTCTCACTGCAGAACAAGCCACCGATCAACATCTGCAATCAAATGTGTTCACATCATATCAGCTTCAATATGTGTGTTAACAACTCTTAGGGATTGAAATGCATGGAACATTTTAACAAATAAATAAATAAGTCCTGACCCTCATGTTGTTCCAAACTTGTTTCAATTTCAAGGAATACAAATGGAAATATTTGGAATAATATTCTGTTCGCTTCTATTAATACGATTACGATTATAAAGGATCGTTCACCCAAAACTCACCCTGGTCTGACAACATAAGTGAATGTAACTATTTATATAAAACAGATTAAAGCTTAAGATAATGGGACAATAAATATGCAAAGTAGCATTTATGAAACTCAATCTTAGAATTAAAGTTTGACAATTCTTGTTGCACATTTGAAAATGGCAATGGAGCAAAGATGGCAGACAAAATCTGAAGTTGGATGATATTTTTATCCTCTATTTTTCATGCATATTTCTTCATTTTATCAAAAGTCATGGTCTCTACGAATGTGAATAAAACTGTGGTTTGACTCCCATCATGAAGGCACAAGATGCTCAGTCTGCCGGAGGGAGAACGTATGGAGCCAGATCAGTCTCAAAAATAATACATTTACAATATAGAATTCAAACATGCACGGCACAATACACATTTACAAAAGCCAATTGGTAAATTGACAACACAACTTATAAATATAACACATTTTCTGAAAATCATAAATATTTTCATCAACTGAATTGGAGTTGTGTGTATTTACGAATCATGTATTGAATTTATGAATTGCATTTGTGTATTTACTAATCGTGTTTTGAATTTACAAATTGGATTTGTGTATTTGCGAATCTTGTTTTGAATTTACGAATTGGATTTGTGTATTCACTAATCGTGTTTGGAGTTTTTGAAATGGATTTGTGTATTTACAAATTGAATTTACGAATTGGATTTGTGCATTTACAAATTGTGTTTTGAATTTACGAATTGGATTTGTGTATTTACAAATAGTTTATTGAATTTACGAATTGGATTTTGTATTTAATAAATGTGTTTTGAATTTACGAATTGAATTTATGTACTTACTAATCGTGTTTTGAATTTACGAATTGGATTTGTGTATTTACAAATCGTGTTTTGAATTTACGAATTGGATTTGTGTATTTACTAATCGTGTTTTGAATTTACGAATTGGATTTGTGTATTTACTAATCGTGTTTTGAATTTACGAATTGTATTTGTGTATTTACGAATCGTTTATTGAATTTACGAATTGGATTTTGTATTAATTAAATGTGTTTTGAATTTACGAATTGGATTTATGTATTTACTAATCGTGTTTGGAGTTTTTGAAATGGATTTGTGTATTTACAATTCATTTTTTGAATTTGCGAATTGGATTTGTGCATTTACGAATCGTGTTTTGAATTTACGAATTGAATTTGTGTATTTACTAATCGTGCTTTGAGTTTACAAAATGGATGTGTATTTACAAATCGTTTTTTTAATTTATGAATTGGGTTTTTGTATCACGAATCGTGTTTTGAATTTATGAATTGGATTTGTGTATTTTCGTATTTGTGTTTTGAATTTATGAATTGGGTTTTTGTATTTACGAATCGTGTTTTGAACTTACGAATTGCATTTGTATATTTACGCTTTGTGTATTGAATGTATTAATTAGATTTGTTTTTACGAATCGTGTTTTGAATTTACGAAATAGATTTGTGTATTTATAATCGTGTTTTAAATTTACGAATTGGATTTGTGTATTTACGAATTGGGTTTTAAACTTACAAATTGGATTTTGTAAATGTGACTTGTGTTGTGGACGTAATCATTTGTAAATGTATTGTTTTTGAGACTGATCTGGTTCCATAAAACAAAGCCATTTAGACTTTCAAATATCATCTACATTAAAGCCAGCAAAAGAGGAAGGAAAAAACAAACACGTTTCGGTAATGTGCAGATAAATAAAAAGTTAGTGTTCTTTCATTGTAGCTGCAACAGTATTTTCAAAAAGTACACAAGACAAGTGTGCATTCAGTCTGACATCGTACCTTTTTTCCCTTTTACACACACTGAACACAAAATCAGCATCACATTAATTAAAGCATTGGTACTGTGACTGTAGCATATGGATATTTTCGATTAGCACCTCTTAACGTCTTTTATCTACATCTGCTTTTTCTTGACCACTAGGCTCTCAGCAGACGGACAGCAAAGGTGGACTCTGCCTCTGCTGGCTTTTCTTCAGCAGCTGTATTCGGTTGTGGCAGTAGAATTTAACAGCCCTCCAGTCACGGTGGTTGGTGACCAGAAGAGGGCAGAGCTCCAGGCACCGCTCGCAGTCTGCTTTGGCGGGCACACGCAGCTCCATGATGTTTTGCACCAGGTGGGTCTCGACAGCTGCCCGCTCCGCTTCAGACCAAGGCCGCTTCAGTACACCACGTTTACCTGAGAGTGAGAGGAGAATGCATGTTAATCATTAGTCCTGTACAAACACTACAGAGAGACTCCCATTCCCTCAGGCACACACAAACACACACAGGTTTGTTTTTGTGAATTGCGAGGACGATCCATATGCTTAAAGGTTTTTATACTGTAAAATAGACTGTTTTTTTTTTTTTTTTTAAACAGCCCTACCCCTTACAGGAAATTAGTTTTTATATTACATTTAATAAGCCTTTCGAAAAATGGGGGCATAGGCAGTGTCTACATAAATTACCTTTTCCTTGTGTAATACATATGTCATAGTAATGTTATTATACTGTCCTAATACACTCATTGGACACTTTATTAGGTACACCTTTCCAACTGCTCGTTAACGCAAATTTCTAATCAGTCAATCATATGGCAGCAACTCAATGCATTTAGGCATGTAGACATACATGGTCAAGACGAACTGCTACAGTTCAAACCGAGCATCAGAATGGGGACGAAAGGTGATTTAAGTGACTTTGAATGTGGCATGGTTGTTGGTGCCAGGCGGGCTAGTCTGAGTATTTCAGAAACTGCTGATCTACTGGGATCTTCATGCACAACCATCTCTAGGGTTTACAGAGAATGGTCAGAGAAAGAGAAAATATCCAGTGTGCAGCAGTTCTGTGGGCGCAAATGCCTTGTTGAGGTCAGAGGAGAATGGCCAGACTGGTTCCAGCTCAACTCAAATAACCACTCACTACAACCGTGGTATGCAGATTATAATCTCTGAACGCACAACCATCCAACCTTGAGGCAGATAAGCTACAGCAGCAGAAGATCACACCAGGTGCCACTCCTGTCATCTAAGAACAGGAAATTTGCACAGGCTTATCAAAATTAGACAATAGAAGATTGGAATGGACAATAGAAAATTAGACAATAGATCGCCTGGTCTGATGAGTGTCGTTTTCTGCTGCATCATTCAGATGGTAGGGTCAGATTTTGGCATCAACAAAAAAAAAGAAATGAAAGTAGAGTAGATCCATCAAGCCTTGTATCAATGGTTTAGGCTAGTGGTGGTGGTGTAATGGTGTGGAGGATATTTTCTTGGCACATTTTGGGCCCTTTAGTACCAATTGCGCATTGTGTCACTGCCACAGCCTACCCACAGTGTACCCATCATCTGATGGCTACCTACAGCAGGATACGCAGCAAGCCATAAAGCGTGAATCTTCTCAGGCTGGTTTCTTGAACATGACAATTAGTTCACTGTACTCAAACGGCCTCCACAGTCAATTGGGATGTGGTGGAACGAGAAATCCACATCATGGATGTGCAGCTGACAAATCTGCAGCAACTGTATGATGCTGTCATGTCAATATGTATTAAAATCTTTGAGGAATGTTTCCAGTACCTTGTTAAATCTATGCCACAAAGGATTAAGGCCGTTCTGAAGGCAAAAGGGGGTCCAACCCGGTACTAGTAAGGTGTACCTAATAAATTGGCCGATGAGTGTATATGTCACAAAAGAAATGCACACACACACACATATATCTACACGCTTACTCCTTCACAGTCTTACAATCCTACTCACTGACACACACCTTGCTCACACCCACACATACACAAACACACACACACACACACACACACACACACACACACACACACACACACACACACACACACATACACTCATAAACACTTTTACACTAAGATAAATGAGCAATAGCTGTGCTGTGTTTGAAGATGGCCTGGGTAAAAATCAAAATTTTGGTTCAAAACTAAATATGTAAATGTGACCGTCAAAATGTTCCTGCTTACATTTTAACAAAGCATTAATAGTTGTATTGAGATAAACATCTCCTTCGCACATCTTCATGATATCCATTCTGCAGTGAACATTCATTAAAGAATTACTGCTTTACATGATGGCGCATGCAATTTCCCATTAGTCATACATGTAAGAGATTTTTTTTCATGTTAATAAACCTAAAACTTATTTGATGTTGTTGATGAGACATTAACTGAATTATGAATCATACTGTACTGGAATGTATATATGTATGAATATATGAATCCATGACTGACAAATATCTATTTGTTAAAATGACGTGCATTTGCAATTAGATTATCTAACAAGCCTCTTTAGTACAACCATTATTTTTGATGCTAGATTTAATGTCTAAAAAACTAGCATTAAAAGTCTGTCCACCATGGTCAGACGTGGTCACCATGGCTACAGAGAACAGCAACATATCCAATCGTTCTCATTAAAGAAATATCTCTCATTATAAAAGGACGATGCATTAACTGGAGACACACGAGAATATGTTGAACCCATAAATGTTGGTTTGTTTTGTTTTGTGAGAGATGAATTTAACCTGGTGTTTGTTCTTCCATATTCTTAATGAGTGAAGCTGCATCTCTCAGAAGATGGTTGCACTTGTTGGGCATCAAAATCCGTTTCTTTTAACGTGTAATTCATTAACGAGTTTTAACTGATACATGAATTAGACGTTCAAACATCAGTGTAGTGTGGAACTGAGGTATACAAATGAACACTGCCACATTGTGTAAGACATTCATAAGATCAGACTCACCAGGCTTGGACTGTCCTGAGGACCTTTTGCGTCCCGTTGAGTGTGAGGAACTGCCGTTCATCTTCTTGGAGCGAGGGGATTTGCTGTTGCCAGTGGTTTTCTTCATCATAGTGGTGGCTGCAGGAGCTTCTGGTTTCTCTTTGCCCTGCTCAGCATCAGACTCGTCTGACAGCGAGTCTGCAGAGTTTCCTGACAACACTGAAAGAGGTGGGTGGGTAAGTAAAACTGATGTTTCCAATTCTCCTTACTTAGACCTGTCACATGCACAACGCAACAAACTCACTCACCATCTAACTCTAGACAGATGTGATGTAAACTCATTCCTCGGAACAGGACGCCGTCTCTCTCTCCACATAGTACCACCCGACCAATCAGGCCCATCAACCCAGGGTCCTGGCCAATGGTTGCACAGCTTTGAGTCACGTGATATTCCTTCTCCAAGAAGCTTTCCAATCTCTTTATGGCAGCCCCGCGTTGGCTTTCCTCCTCGCCCTCACTTAGCAGCAGCAGCTGTGTAAGTATTGCCACCTGCCTGCGAACACGTGTCTGCGTCAGTGCCCGCGGGTGCCGTGACCCACTGGACCGAGCCAGGCTGCGGAGTAAGTCTGTCCCGCGAAGAGGAGTGGCTGGCGAATGAAACGGTCGGGCGAACACATATGGGTTCTGTGGATCGATTCCCACACCTGCACGAGTCTGCAAAAGCATCTCCAGACAGGCTTCTGAATGCGGTGGGAGGATGAGGGGTTGCACGCGGCCACGTTTCCCTTGGACTCCGACACGAGGAAGATGGGGTAGGACCATCCGCTCGAAAGGTGATAGCGAGGCCTCAAGTGGAGTTACAGCTGGCGGGGAAACTGAAGAGCCAGGGACGACCTGTGTAATGCGGGCCTGGTACTCGGTGATGGTGAGTTTGGAGACTTCGCATTCACGCCGGCGGTTGTAAAGGATGAGAAGAGCCAGGCTGGAGTGACAGAGGAGACGCCAAGCCTCGGCCGACTGTAGGGAGCGGGACAGAGAGATGAAAGCGGAGTGCTGAAGCCGCCGCAGGTATAACACCAGAGAAGAGAGGGAGGAAAGAAGCGGGATCATGTGGGGACGACTTGAACTGTAAAAACCAAAAAAAAAGATGAGTTCCATGAGTGCATTTATATATATATATATATATATATATATATATATATATATATATATATATATATATATATAAAAGCAGATTAATAGAAGAATATATGTGTATTTGGCATGCAGTCCAAGGGAAGAACTCCGAGCTTGGGCTTTAGCCTGAACCCAGAATACTTGTCAGTTTCTACGATGCTAATAATTGAGAAAGAAGAGTTGGGGTGGTCAAGGGATGCTAAAAAACTGTTGACAGAGGTGAGTCAACTGTACATACACCTCTTATCATGCTAGTAATGGGTTAAATACCAGAACCTGCTCCTCTTAAACGCAGTTAATAAGACTTTGATTCTGATTGGTCAGTCGCCAAATTTTAAGGCATAGGTCTCAAACTGGATTCCTGGAGGGCTGCAGCTCTGCACAGTTTCTAATCAAACACAGTTGATCCAACTAATCAAGGTGTTCAAGACTACTAGAGACTATTAAGCAGGTGTGAGTTGAAGGTAGTTGGAGCTAAACAGTGCAGAGCTGCGGCCCTTCAGGAACTGAGTTTAAGACCACTGTTCTAAGGTATGTTATTCCAAGATAACAACGCCTAAACAACATAGGCTCATGCGGGTACTTTAAATCATCTTGACTGTCAATGAATACGTTCACATTTATATATATATATATATATATATATATATATATATATATATATATATATATATATATATATATATATATGTATTGAGTCTAAATAATACATACGTTAGGGAATTCTTCATTTAGCCATTTTATTTATCATATTTGCCTTTACTTAAAGAATTAATAAAGTATTACTGCTCAGAACAGTGTATAATCCGAGTATAATTGTGACGTTTTAAATGGCTCAGCTATTTGTCTGTCTGACAATAAGCCTGTTAGGCTTTATTCAGTGACCTGCCTGCACATACTTTGTCCTTAACATATTGATGCCTGATGTACACTGCTCGATCAACTGAAAATGACTAACCTTAATAGATCGAGCTTATCCTCAGCTCCGCTTTCTTCTTCTCTTCCTCCATTGTCTTCTCCCTCTTGTTTTGAAGGTTCCGACTCCTTCATCTGGTCCTCGAACACTGGATCTGGCACGGTCTCTTTAGTCTTCTCAAATATCTCTACCTCCTCTTTCTCCTTTTTCATTTTTCGTCCTCCTTTTTTAGCAGAAGAACCTGGTGTAGGTGGGCTTCTCTTTAAAACAGATACTGGAACGCCTCCTCTCCTGGGTGGAGTAGTCGGAGCTGGGGTGGGACTTTTGCGATTAGGGCTAGCGAGAGCAGAGCTTTTTCTAACTGGAGATAAAGATGAAGAGGGATGTGATCGTGGCGATCCCACTACCACACCTGCTGCTTGGGTGCCCTGGGGATGTTTGCTGGTTGATGGGAGAGGTGACTGTGCAGAAGGAGGGGTACCAGAGGCCCTTGCCTGCTCCAGGACAATGTGCACGTTCGGCAGGTGGGAGTGATGTTTTTCCACATGGCGTGGGAGACACCGAAAGTGACGGCCACAGTAAATACAGCGCTGTTTTTGTGCCACGGTGCTTTGCCCACGACCCACTGACACACTGACACTCTTAGCCGGAATTCCTGCAGGCGTCGGGCTCTTAAACACAGGTCTGGAGGGAGCAGTGGGCTGCAGCGGGGAGGTCGGAACAGAGTGTGGAAATGAAGCAGGATGGCTGGAGGGTTGCTGAGATGCTTTTCTCTTGGCTTGAGCAGCCGGAGACGAGAGGGATTTGTGCTTTTTACGGCGGTGAGGGGTTCGTGTACGGGTCTTTCCGTTGCCATTATCTGAGTCTGAATCGCTGGGCTCAGAGTGAGAGGAGGAAGGAGAGAGGGACCAGGAAGGTGTGAGGTATTTTGTCACAGTAAGAGAGAGTGGAACTGGGCTGGACTCTTCCTCCTGTGAGCGAGAAAAAATACAAAAAGAGTAAATAATCCAGAAAACACTTGTTACAGGCATTTAACATCTCTCCAGACAGTGTTGAGCCATGTAATATGACAAATAGAGATGTTTACTGAAAAAAGAAAAACATTGCACACAAACAAATGACACCTCAAAACTGAAATCATCTTTGAAAGGGAAGAGATTTCAGACCAGATGAAATTTAAGAAAATATGACAAGGCAGCCTAAAATAATGCCTAAAGGATTAGGAGACCAATGAAAGGAGGCGGGGTGACATGATGGCTCAGTGCATTGCACTGTCGCCTCACAGCAAGAAGGTCGCTGGTTTGAGTCCCGACTAGATCAGTTGGCATTTCTGTGTGGAGTTTAAATGTTCTCCCTGTGTTGGTGTGGGTTTCCTCCGGGTGCTCCAGTTTTCCCCACAAGTCTAATGTGGGGAATGACTTCATTGGTTGATTGAATCCAGGAAGAACATTTAAAACAAATTTAATTAAACAAGCATGCCTGAGATTACTGGATGCATCTGTGGGAGTTGTTAGTGTGCAGTGCCTGTGTTTATGCTTGTAGCACGTTTACACTGATGGCCAGGGGCACAGCAATCATTTCAGGAGCGAGGAGGACAAGAAATTCAGCATGAGGTCTGAAAGTGACGGTTGCTTGGTAACTGGGCGTGTCATCAGTCATTAGTTGTGAAAATGAAACATACTGTGTGTATATATATATATATATATATATATATATATATATATATATATATATATATATATATAAAAATTTACCTTTTTAACGTGGTTCTCCTGGTCCGAGCTACAATCAAAGCTACTGGGAGGCACAGTGCCATGAAAACCCTGAAAATGGAGAGTTACAAAAAGTGTATCAATTAGAAAAAATGTCAATCATCAGAGTGAGCCACACAGTCAGACCTGCGCACAAATGAATTAAATACCACACATGGAAAGTCATTTTGTAAACAGTCAACAATTTGCATTTTATTAGAATCATAAATGTCAATAAGTAGTACGCGTTTATGGCCATTTGCACTATCAAAAGGTACTATCAAAAGGTACCAAAAAGCAAGCTGTACCATACCACTTTTTGGATACCCTTTCGAAAGGGTACCTAGCACAACAAAAGGGTACCAAAAGGCAGAGCTAGACGTGCAGCTGAACGCTATTGGTTTGTTATGTATGGTAATCCGTAGTTGTTTACAAGGCCATCTAAAGTGCAAGCGGTTTTGTTTTCTCGCAAGAGCTCGCTGCTCTGCGCTATATTTGAATAACAAACTTCTTGAGCTGATGATACTGACGTGCATGAGATAATTGAAGTGCTTCTGACATCCGATCCTTTCAGAAACGCAAAACTGACGTGCGAAAAAACAAAGGAGAAGCCTGAAAAAACAAACCAGCAAATGTCTTCTTTGAGCAAATTTCTTCTTCAATTTTTTTCTTTTAGCAAAAACAACCTAAAACAGGAAAATGCTGCTATGTTTAACTATTTTCATCACCATTTGGACTATTATGAAGTTGGAATGACTGAATTACTTTCTAACAAGAGGTTACATGTGCTGGCGAAGATTAAAGACACAGATGAGAGGTTTGCACTGTGGGCTACAGTATATGTTGTGTGTAGTTTTTGGACCCAAATAAGGACTAAATGTGTCCTGTGTATAGTTTTTCTGTAATTGATAAAACATCAGAGACTGTAAGGGGCTGTATGTGTTCATATATGTTGCATTTATTCATTTATTTTATGTAATCACAGATTACAGTAGGTTATAGATTACATTACAGTAGGCTATTTTGCATATCATTGATCTGTGGTTATAATCAGATCATTTTCATAGAATATAGTATTGAACACTATTTATGTGTATAAAGCGTCTGTATTGTGAGAAGTTCTTCTCATAAGATATGTGAACGACCCATACAGCTTTAAGGCTTATACACACCAGGACGCTTTACATTTGCGTTTATCGTCAGCATTTTTGAGACATTTTTCTGCATTCAAACCCAAGCGATTTTCACTGGCGTCGAGCAGAAGTGTACGCAAAATCACTGCTTGACGTTAGATGACACTTAATGAAAAACAGAAAGACCCGGAGCAAAGGGTGGCACTGCACAACTTTAAACTTCTGACACCTGCTTGTAACACAGAAGAAGAAGAGAGAAAGTTGACACGCTTATTGTTAGTTACTGGTGATTAAAACAAGCATGGATGGTTCAAGTAGCAGCTCCAGCTCTAGCGATGAAGAAATGATTATTTTTCACCAGTGCAATAAGCAGCTCCACGTTCTAATCACCTCTGGGCATCTTCTTCAATGTGCGCTCGCATTGACAGTTTTGCACTTGAGCACCTCCAAGTGCTGTTTACAATAACTTCAGCAGCTCTGTGCACATGAACAAAAGTGCCAATCTGATTGGTGGAGAAGGTTGTGACGTGGCGTCACAACAAAAAACGAGCATGAGGTGTTTCCTTAAAAATTACGCTTTTATGCCTGTCATTTTGCGTGTTGGTGTGCACGATCACACTGACGCCTTTTATTTAGTCACGAGGCGTTAAACGTCGACGGAAAACGCGATCAAAGAGTGTCCTGGTGTGACCGGGCCTTTACTTTGACATTTCCTTGAATGATGACTGCAATTTCCTATCATACACCATGCCTACCAAAAAGGTACCATAGGTACCCTTTTGGCAGTGGAAACGCAAGCCTGATAAAGGGGACCTGTACTGTACCCCTCAATGGAAACAGGCCATAAGAGCAAAAAGGTGAGGTCAATGAGGCTATTGTCATGGTTACACTTACCAAAGCGTTTTCTCCCCACTCAGTCAAACTGTAATCCACAGTGATCTCCTCCCCTTTAGTGATGTCGCGGATCGCTATGACGATCAGTCGCACTTGATTTCCACAGTGCACTTCACGAATGCGGCAGTTTGGTGGTGGGGGGTATGAGACAGACCCTCTTCCTCCACTGGAGCCCTCCTCGCTCAGACTGCAAGAGGAAGACTAGATCAGATACAGTAGACTGATACAGATAACCACATCACAGCAGGGAAATCTAGCATGGTTTCATTCTAATGCGAGTCCTGTGCTGCAGTCATCCTGTCTTAGCGCTCACACCTTACTTCATTACCATTAATAATACATCATCTCGAGTGGCCAATCCGAATGCGAACACACTGCATTACTACAAACGGGATTTAAAACCTGAATCACAAACAGGTTGTTTACCGTCAGCTGCTGCCACTTTGAGTATGCTAACTTATACTACTCTGATGAACCATGCATACTTAAATATTAATCTGAAGATTAACCATCAGCGCTGAAGCTCATGTAAGTCTGGCGTGCATTCCTAAACAGGACCAGCATTTTACACAAATATAGAACACACAGTTGTTCCACACACCAGCCATTTTATTAAATATATAAATAAAACATATATTTCTGTCTGCGCTTATGACTAAATATAGCGATAAACAGACAAAAACACACACACTACAAGCTCAGATATACAGTGTGATGAACACAGACAGATATCTTTGCAGGGATCTGCTTTTTCTATACTGACCTAATCAGAATTTCTATCCACTAAACCCAGCAACCTTTTGCATTGTTAGACTATAAGTAATTTAATTGTTAGACTTTAAATAATTGTTAAAATTATTTGTTATAAAACGATCAGGTTTTAGTGTCCTTGTGGCGACATTTGGTCCTTTAAATACAAGTTCACACACACACACACTCACACACATTCCCTCACTAGCCCAAAGATAATAAACACGTTGCAATAAACAGACACAGACACCCACAGCTTGCATTCCAGTAATCCCCCACCTTCATGTACACACAAGAGTATCTCTCAACAACACAACAAACACAATTACTCGCTATCTTCTCCTAGCATGCGCGAACACACACACACACACACACACACACAGAAACACACACATATATATACACTCACAGATGTGCAGTATCTCTATTCAGACCACACACACACACACACTCAGTCACTCACCAAAGCTGAGCAGATTGTGTTTCATAGTATGGTCCATCAGCAGCAGGAACTTTGTGTTTGTCCTCATGACCATCACCTGAAACACATTAACAGTGCTTCAAATTATAGATCTTTACATACTCATGCTGTTGCTAAAACATATTTTGCGTGCTCCGACATCTTCTGTCATGTTGTTAGCTTGGTTGAGTTATGAAACAGTGATCAAGCCGTAGAAAACAGGCATTCCTATTTTGGCTATAGTTTCATGATCATAACATGTCCAACTAAATTAAAGCATTCTGGGAAATGAAGTGTTCTTTCAACATGGCCCACTTTTTTATTGCCTTTTAAAATTAAGAAGTCATTTTGGTTTAGTTTTTATCATTTAATTTAGGTAATTATTCAAAATTTGCTCAAAATTCATCCTGTGCAAACCATTTAGGAACTAGATACAGTGTTACCATGGAAACAGTATGTTAAGCAGACTCCTCCCCCTGGTGGGCAGTCCCATGTTTCATTTGCAGTCACATTGCTAGTTTGGTCTCTTTATTGTTGCCATTGTGAATGCCACATTACGCCTGTTTCACACCGCAAGCACAAGCAGTGTGTACGCAGCGCGTATGGAGAGCAGAAGCAGCGCGCAGGCATTTGCCTTTTACCGACTGCGTCTGCAGCGCACAGCTCATCGGCAGCTACTGCACAGATCAATCTATCTTGTTCTTTTCTATCTAGTTACCTATCGATCGAGAAATACAAATTTTAAAAACTTTTCATCTGCACCAAGGCCCTCCTATGCTGTTGCCTTAACCCACGAGTCTTTATTTTACAAATTATATAGATCATACAGTACTGTATGCTTCTCAATCTCTGAGGAGTGTCATTTATGTCTTTCAGGTGCTCTTGGCCAAGACAATCGCCTGTGATATCATGTCATTTTGTTTTTGATTGTCAGGATAATGTAGGCCTATAGTTATAATAAAAATTATACAATATAGTTATAATGATATTTATACATGATCAAACTAGTGTGCAACTTACTAAGCAAAAATAATACTGAAATTGTTTTAAATTTGGTTTTGTGGTTCAGGCCCAAATAAATATTTGTTGCAATCGTTTAAGTTCAATTGATTGACTATATAAAATCAGTTGATATTATCGATGCATTTATTGGGTAAAATTACTACCTTTTACTGTCATTCAATGTGTCTTTGGTCATTATCAATGGACTGTCCCTTTAATTGAGCGTGAGCCAGCACCAAAACTATTGTGGCACTGCTGCTTTAACGACGCTCATGCCTCGTGCTGACGTGTACTGTTATCGTGGCAAAGACAAAAGGAATCAATTATTAGAAATTAGTTAATAAAACTATAATAGTTAGTGATGGTGAAATGAAGCTTTCTGAACCATTGAAGCGTTCGACTCAATTGTATCTAAAAAAAAGTTTGTTACTCGAAAGTTTCCAAATCAGAGCTCGATGACAACCTCTGGTGGTTAAAGAGTGGGAAAGTGTTGTGTTCAAAAATATCAAACATTTAAAACTGACCAACTTATTAATGTAGTAATACAACAATACTAATATAAACAAATTACGCAATTACTGTAGTTTTTTGCAGTAAATGTACGCTACATTACAGCACAGATGACTGTAGTAAAATCCAGGGTATTCAAAAGTGTTTACATTTATCGTATTCCAACTGGTCCTACATCCACCCACTTGTTCCAAGCAGGGATCGAACTGCTGATTCCTTCATGAAATGCGTTGTCTCTAAAGGCTTGTTTATACTTCTCCATCGAGTGATCGGTGTGACCCACGGCGCCTGCCTTGCGCGATGCCATACATTTATAATTCTGCATGCTGTATGTGTTGCTCTGCAATAACACTTCCGAAGCGGTAGCTGGCAATAAAGTTTTTATGTTCCTCTGTTAAGTTTCTTCACGGGTGCTTTAGATTTTAACATCTTAATGTACAAGTAGCTAAAACTCGCTCATTTTGAGGTGGGAACTGGCAGACGTGCAACAACTTTAACCATATGGTAAACACAAAACAAAACTTTGGAGCTCCTTCACAGGACTCAACACTTGTAAACACTCGCTTCAATGGGTTTGCACGGCTCATGGTCCCGCCCACACTTGTCAGTGGTATCAAGCAGACCAATCACAGAGCTTGCACTACGTGCCGCTGCGACATGTAGTTATATTTTTTTTAGAAGTGCGTGTCAGCCACAGTGATGGCTATGCGACTGCTTGAAGACATATGTGTGTGCTTGACGCAGAAGTATAAATCAGCCTTGAGGAGGCTATGGGAATGAGGCTATTTGCGCTGCACTAGCCAGCTGGCCTCCGTTACACACTATACTACAATATTAAGTGGCGTTTTTAAAAAATTGTTGTAAATAACACAATAATACTTGTATTTTAGTTCAATTACTGGTGCGTGGGACCAGTGCAGTGCTTTGAAACAGCAAGCGACGACTAATCTCTTGCTATTCACTTTACTAACCCACGGGGGTGTTTAAACCTTTGAATCAAAATTCGAAGCAGCCGAGATGAAGCTTCGAACGTCACTGATCATGTGATTATGGCAAAACGCATCAAGCGCTAGTGCACTGCTTCACTGCAAGAAAATCTTTTTTTTCACTAATTATGTTTAAATATGTGTTGAAAACAATCTTCTCATTATTAAACATCAAATATTTGAAAAAAAAAACTACAGGAGGGCTAATAATGTTGTCTTTAACTGTTTAAATTAAAGTAACAAACTGAACAGTACACACACATGCACACTTTACCTTTCTCTGGTCCATAGCTGTTCTCAGACATGCTCTCCTCATCCTCTGCGGCGAAGACTCTGTCGCACACCTTCACCGGTGTCCCTTTCCTTTTCCTCCCACAGCCACGTCTGCAAAACACACACATCTTCACATTAAACAGACAGCCTTACCAACTCAATCAGCACCAAAACATAAATCACAATTGTCAATCAATACCAGGGACTCGTCAGTGGATCAATGGAAATCAGCACAAATCGCATTAAATCTTACTTCTAGAGTGAAGCATAAAACCGGTTTAATTAAGACTCATTTAAAGTAGCTGTGCCTCCAACAATACTGCATATGCAGTCATTCTGCTGCAACTTCACTGAAGGACGCCTGTCAACTGATCTGAACTGTGATGTGTCAAGCACATCAGAAATATAATGCAATGCTCACTCTAGCAAACGCCACTAATTAATCCACTGTGAATTCATCCTCTTCCTCATGAAGACGAATCAAGTTCGCTGGAATCTGTATATACAAACAGAACACTGATCTAGAGCCAGTTCTACTCCAAATCTATAATCCTTAAAAGCTTCAACAGAGAGTAACTGAACAGATTACAGTGTGTGAGCTGCCGTTAATAGAGCTGTGTATGAAAGCCAGAGCTCCGTTTTCCACAGATGCAACTGTGAATGCTTAATTAGAGCAATGTAGAGATGTGCAGTCTCTTGGTTACAGATGTGTTCAGTGTGTGTGTGTGTGTGCATGTGCCTGACGTATTCACTGAGCTGTGATAAGACTCAGTCTTGCCGACTGGATATTGATCTGGCCGACCCTCCATCTGGACCCAAGAGCATATGTGTGTGTGCGTGCGTGTGTGTGTGTGTGTGTGTGTGTGTGTGTGTGTGTGTGTGTGTGTGTGTTTGCGTGCATGCAGGCAGACGGATTCATCCGTTCATCCTTCAATCCTCCATTTCAGGTCAGCTTTACATATAGATGATCACACATGTCTATGGAAATTAATCAAAGTAGGGCAGAAATAAACTGATGTTAATGAAACAGGGATAGTGCAGACTATGCAGTGGTCTGTTTTGATTTCAGCACACGACATATTCAAAATGTGTCTTTCCAAATCACTTCAAAATAGAAAAAAATTAAAAATTAACAATTAGATGTGACCTAGAATTTTGAGACAGCAGTGTATGTTTGAGACTTTATTTAAACCTCTTCCAGCCTTATTTTAATTTGTGTATGAATGTCTATTGTGACACTGAGGAGGATTCAGAAATAAGATTTTTGATGATTTTTTACATGATAAATTACGGTTTTAAAAATATGACAGGAAAAAAATACTTAGTTGCAGCACCTAAAAGAATATCGTTCATAATTTGGGGAGAACATTTCCAGAACGTTTAAGTTTAGTTGAATTATTTACAAGTAAAGTCACAGCAGCACCAGACTTCATCCCACTTTAAGTTACATTCATACAAAAGCGTGAAAACCAGACACACGAGCTCACGCTGAGCATTTGTATCTTCATCTATTGTCTTCTGTGTACCAAAGTTCAAGTGTGACTTACTCTAACCTTTGAATTTGCATGATGAAGAGCATTTGGCCAGTAAAGCACCGATTCCCAAGATTTTTGACTCTACAACTCCCCCTCTGTCTCTACTCAATACTCAAATGCCCTCTTCAGTACTGGTGCACTCAAAATAAACTAAAATATGTGATTAATAAAACATGTCAGTATATTGTTTGGTATCTTTATTTTTAGTGTTCAGAATTTTAATTACCTTGAATTAAACTTTTGTTTAATTTTCTTTAAATGAAAAATTCCACACTTTGTGGAATTTTCCTCCACATTCAAAGAAACACGCTACAGGTGAATTGAATAAACTACATTGTCCGTAGTGTTTGTGTGTGACTGAGTGTTTATGGATGTTTCCCAGTATTGTTTTTTTTTTCATGATGTGAAGAACACTTTAGCCATCTGAAGAACCTTTTTCTGCTATAAAGCACCTTTTGTGACATTAAATGTACTGAGGACATTAAAGGTTCTTCATGGAACGATTAATGCCATTAAAATTGACACTTAGTTTTACCACTTTTTAATCTATTCAGCTGAGCTCTGTGTCTGGTGAGGGCAGTTTAACGTTATTTAGAATGAATGAATCAGAAAACATCTATTTCACAGAATAAAGCCTTTTAGTCTTACACAAAAGCCCTCTCTCTGTGGTTGCACCACCTTGTGGCTGAATAACATGCTTTGCATCGAGCTGATGGCTGTCCTGGCTGTTTTCCATGATAACAACCGCCTGGATGTACTTTATTCCTTACTTACAAACGACCAATTTATATAAAAAACATAACTGTTTAACAAAGAATATTGAATTTATTTAGATAATTTCAAACTATTTAGGCTGAGCTTATCTATATTATGTTTGTGTGTTTTTGAGAACTATTACTTTATAGGTTCATTTGAGTTTATTTCTCTTAAGTGTTAGCTTCTCAAAATAAACTAAAATCTGACCACGACGCCAATTGATGCTTTGTTGTAGAAATAACATTTCCCTTTAATTTGTATTGGTGTAATAAAGCAGCCCTTGAATAACTTCTTTATGAAGCAGCCACTAGGACTAGAACTGCATGATATTGGAAAAAGCTGATATTGCGATATTTAATTTTTCTGCTATAAATATTGTGATGTGAATACAGTTTCAGTAGATGGTTTGAATAGCTCTATTTGACAGTTTTCTGGGGAGTCGCACAATATTCGGGTACAGAAATTTAATAATCACAATGCAAAGATAATGTGTTAATTACTTTGTTTGGTCTTGTTTTTAGTCCAAATATCCCCCCAAAAATGAGACAAAGTAAAAATATTGTTTAGTTTTCACCTTCAAATGTTTTTTGCAAGCTCTGTGGTCAGCTTGGTAGCGCTGACGAGTGTGGAAGGGATCGAGAGCCGCGCGAACTAGTCGAGTAGAGTGTTTACAAGTGTCGAGTCCTGTGAAGTAGCTCTAGATGGAAACTGTTGTTTTGTGTTCACCTTTTGATTAAAGCTGTTGGACATCCGCGAGTTTGAGCTACTTGTACATTAAGATAGCATTCAGAAAAAACAAAACACCAGCGAAGAAACTCAACACAGAGGAATATAAAAACCTCACTGCCAGCTAGCGTTTCTAAAGTGTTGTTGCAGAGCAACACAAACAGCACACAGAAGTATATATGCACAGCTACACGCAAGGCAGGCACCGTGGGTCACGCCAATGACTTGATGCAGAAGTATAAGCCAGGCTTAACACAAGTCTTACTGAGGGATATTGCACACCGAGTTATTCTGTACTCGCATTCACTGTTCATGGCTGTAATACAAAATAGTTCATTCAAATAAAAATCACAGGTGAAAATTCACCTCAGAATAAAAAAGCTGATTATGACTGATGTTTTATTCTGTGGTGATGATATATACGAAAACGACACAAGTAATGCGGTCATGTGACAATGACTAATAGCGGGTGAAGTATTTTTGAATTCCCTTCACACTACTGATTTTCATGCTATTTAGCGATCGTGAAGTAAATTCAAATGAAGTACCTAGATGAGCAGTGTGCCATTTCAAACACAGCTCAATTCACCATTTATCGGTGGAGATACTCCTGTCCAGCCTGTCAGTAAATCTGATTACACACACACACACACACACACACATTTGTGTAACTCATTCTCCAAGTCAATACACTGCAAAACGGACATGCTTTAAATCCCTCCTCATTCCACAAGCCAAAATCTGTTTCCCTTTCGTTCATTTGTGTATCTCGACTCTGTTTATCTCTCTTTTTTCCCTCTTTCCCTCACGTACACACTCACACCAAATCCCATTCCACTCAAAACAACACACAAACAAGAACTGCACATGTGCAAGCAGAAAGACACACATGTGCACAAGAACACATAAACACACACCTCTCCTGTTATAAATCCATGAGTGCACACACACACACACACACACACACCATCCCCCAATTGAACACATGTATGTTCACACACATGCAAACACACCCTACCCTTTAAAAATCTACTTACACACACAGACGCGCACACACACACATACACACACATCCTCTCTTCAGCTGAGCTCACATGCACGCACACACACTCACCCCTCCTCCATCCCAAGCTCACATGCGCACACACACACACACATGCACACAGATATACGCGCACACACACACACACACACACACACACACACACACACACACACACACACACACACACACACACACACACACACACACACACAGAGACTCACTAAAGAGCACACACACTCTCTCACACACGCTCTCTCAAATAACCAAGCCAGAGTCTCATATTCTCTGTCTCTCACAGACAAACACACACACACACACACACACACACACAAAATCTGCAGCAAATGCATTCTCTCTGAAGACACACACACACACAAACACACACACAAACACACACACACATGATTTTCCTGTCTGTCTTTCTCTCTCACATACACACACTTTTGAATAATGTAAACATACACATGCAGGCTCTCAGTCTGGAGACATGCACACACTCATGCAATCAACACACACACACACATGCACACACACACACACACACGCCTTTGTTGAGAACACTCTATGCGTTATTCAGTCTCACAAACAAATCTCTCTCTCACACACTCACACAGACACACACACACACACACACACACACACACACACACACACACACAGTCTTCCTTCTCAAACATATAACATATCCGCCTACACACACTGCATGTTCACACACTCACACACACACACACAAGCTCCCTTCCTCTTTCATAAACAAACTAGATGCACAAACACTCCCTCTCTGCACTGTCTGCAATACACACACAGACACTCACTCACTCACACACTCACTCACTCACTCACTCATTCACACACAAACACACACACCTCATCTGTCTTTCACAGAAACACAGATGCACAAACATTCACACCCACTCACACATACACACACACGGGCGCACACACACACGCGCACACACTCACACACACACACACAGATGCTTCTTTAATTCTCTCTCTCTCACACACCCTTCTGCTCTCTAAACTACACACACACACAATCCTGCCTC